CCGCTGGATCACGCTGCTGCTCACCCAGGAGTTCCCGTTCCCAGACGCCGTCCGCATCTGGGACACGCTCCTGTCAGACCCCCGCGGCCGCATGGACTGCCTGCTGCGCGTCTGCCTCGCGCTGCTCATCCACGTCAGATCCCAGATCCTGGCGGGCGACTTTGCGGCCAACGTGAAGCTGCTGCAGCGGTACCCGGCGGTGGACGTGGCGGAGGTGCTGGCGGCCGCCGCGTCGATGCCGTGCTGCGACGACATTGTGCCGCCGCCGGGGCCGGCGCTGCGGGGACCCTTGTAACGCGGCACTGCGGTCAAGGCGGCATCGCGGGCTGGAATCTGGGCCGTGAAAGCCGGGCCCTGAAAGTACGGCAACACCTGCCACAGGGGTTGACGGGCAAGAAACTCGCTGCTCATCTGCCAGCTGCACAGCAGGCACCGTGGCTGCAGGCCAGAAGGACGGCGGCGGCCGCACCGCGCGGCGTTGCAGTCTGCCCGAAGGCTGTCGCTTGGGGCTGGTGCGGTCACGATGCGGCCCGCGCTGTCCAATGACACCAGCATCGGCGCTGCGCGAGGCTGCAGTGGTCAGCTGCTGGGGATGTGTGGGTTGGCTGCAGGGTGACCTAAGAACGCCCCTGCACAGCGCTGTGAATTGAGACGGTGCTGGCACTATCATGCTTGTGACACCAGCATCGAGGGTTGATTACGGCAAGCTCTCGTAGAGGCAGCAGTAAAAATGCGCAGCGCTGCATTGCGAACACGCGCCTGCCTGCATCCCATCAAAGTGCAGCACTTCCGAAAACAAAACTCAGTTGTTGCTTGAAGTACAGGCACAAACACTGGTGATTGGTTCCGAAAACAGAAAGCGATGGAATTCACATGCGGCAATCAGATGTCTCCCAAACAGTCAAAAAGCTGCCGACGCCTCAGCTAGCAGCTGCTCCCGAGCTGCAGACGTAGGGACAGAGGCCACCACGGGTGCCTCCCCCACCACGCCAGCAGACGTGATTACGATCGCCTTGAGGGGCCGCCCATAGCGCCGCCGGACCTGCGTGCGCCAGTCGTGTACGCGTTGGGTGTGCGTGTGTGCACTTGCCGTGCACACGTACGTGCGTGCAGGCGCGCACATGTGTGCGCAGGTGACAAGCTAGACGGCCTGGCGTGCTCCTGCGTGGCCTGCAAAACTATCCTCAGGCAGAGGATGCTGTGTGTGCAGGCGGCCCAGGCACTCGCACACGTGCGTGGCAGCGCCGGCTACTGTCAACAGCAGCGGCCCCCACGCCGCATTTCCATCCCTCAAAACATCAGGCCCCAATCCAAACTCCGACCTTGTCAGCTCTGTCGTCGCCAATGAATTTGGCGAAGGCGTTGAGCTGCTGGGACCGGGGGTCCGGCTGGAACGAAGGCACTGCAGCCACCGCGGCCACCTGCACACCAAGCGCGCCGAGGCACGTGCGAGAGCAGACCCGTGGCTCATCCCACACGACGCAGCTTTGCATGGCCGCCTCCGTCCCCGGTTCGGCGGCGTCCCCCGCCCCTTTCCCCCCGTCCCAAGAAATGTTTGAGTGGAGTCAGGCGCAATCCCACAGTTTTGCGACCCTGGGGACTCCCCACAACGATCCTCAGCGGCCGTGCGCATCCCCGTGGTATTCGGCAGGCGGCGAGGGCGGTCGCCGACAGGGGCCAATGTCAGGGCACTCCACAGGTTATAGAAGCCGCCCTGCCGCATGACCCAGTGGGCGCCCCCCTCACCGTTGTGAGCCCCGAGGTAACGCGGCCAAACACGAGGTTGAGCCCGTCCAGGCGCGGCACGGGGCCGGGGCCCGTGGTGACGAGGAACTCCAGGGGCCTGGCTCAGGCGGTGGTCGGGGGCCGGGGTGGCGGGTGCACAGATTGTCAGCAGTGCTGGTCGGCTGGCCGCTCCCCCAATTCGATCCCTCCTCAGGCGGGAGAAGCAGGGTGCACACTGGCTCCTGCCAGGCCCAGGGCGACGCGTATCAGCTGATCAGGTCAACCAGTCATACACACCCAGACGCGGCCACCGCCACAAGCCCCAGGGAGCACCTGTAGTTGGGCCTGTCCTTTGTCGCGGGGTCCTCGTCATTGTCCGAGGATATGCTGAGGCTAACGGTGCCAGGGCGGCTGTGCGTCAGCTTGAAGCCAGCCGGCGACGAGATGTCGCTGTTGGGCTGCTCGCGAGGAGGGGGGAGGGATGGGAAGTTGGGCGGCCAGGCGGGTCGATGTGGGCAGCGAGGGGGCCGTTGGATCGAGGAGGAAGAGCCGGGGATTCGTCAGGTTGGGGACAGGGTCCAGGGGCACGACATGGCGTGGGAGCAGGAGCGTGCCGAGCAAGCGCCTGGGTTGATGCTTGACTTTCAGAGCGGCAGCTGGGCTCTGGGTGCGTCAACGCGACCGCACCTGCAGGTTGGGCACTCCCTCGACCTCTCCCAGCCGCCGGCTGCCCTGCCGCCCCGCCTGGATGTACTCTCCAGGGCTGGAGGGGGGGGGGTTTTGGGGGTGAGAACGTGGCTCATGCTCGTTTCCTCGTCACGCAACACAGCTGGGGTCCTAGCTAATGCACAGGAAGGCCGTGTGAAGATGCAAAGGCCCTGGAGCCACGTGGCAGCGTTGGGTGCTTCAGGTGTCAAACACAATGCCGCACCCCGTGCTGCCGCCATTGGCAAGCAGGCAGGCCCCAAAACCGGGTGTGGGGCAGGCGCCTCTCGCAAGCCGCATGCAGCAGCGCGCCAAACAACGCCGCACCTGATCCTGCTGATGACTGTGCCGTTGAGCGCGCCGCTGCGCACGGTCTGCAGCAGGTTGCGCACCGTGGCGGGCGCAATGTTACCATAGAGGCCTGGAGTGGGGGGGTCGTCAGGAGCCAGGGGGCGGTGAGGGCGTCAACCAGCCCAACGCGCAAATGCAGGCCTTCTCCAGCTGCTGCTGCTGCCACCTCAGGTGCCAATTTCTTGCGTCGTCCCTAACGGCACCAGTCGTCCTCGTCGTGCAAAAGCACGGCAGCCCGCCCCAGTAGGGCTGCGCAGCCGGGGGCCGTACCAATCTCCAGGCGCCCCAGCTGCGTGGTGGGCGCGGGAATGATGGTGCGGTCCCCCAGGGTGCGGTCCCCGGGCGCCTTGAAGGCGGAGTCTGCCACCGCAAAATCGAGGTACACCTGCGTGGACGCGCGCAGTGGAGGGGGGAGAGCTGTGTCTCAGAGTTGCTTTTCAAGGCGCGAGCGATGCGGTATCTGCAGCGGCCATGCTGCAGAGCGGCGGAGGGGCCGCACCCTGTCAGTGATCGTCAGGTCTGGCTCCCCGCTGCTGCTGCTGCTGCCCTGCTCCTCCGCGGCATACACGCCAGCAGCCGGCCAAGCCAGGGCCGCTGCAGCCGCTGCGGCCGCCGCGAGCGACTGGCGGCGGGTCGCCGCTGTGGCCGCGGCGGCCGCAGCGTGGTGGTCGGCAGGGGCAGCGGATGCCTCCTCACGGGCTGCCGCTGCGAGCTGCGTTGGCCGCGCGCGGCTTGGCGTGAGGCAGGCAGCAGAAGAGGGGCGCTGCACGCCAACCGTCCTGCGGCGTTGTGGTGAGGGGCTTAGTGCCGTTCGCTCGCCGCGGCTAGGTTGATGCAGCGTGACAGCGTATGCTCTGCTCTTGCTGACAGCGCGCACCTCGTGCTGTCAGTGCGCCATGCTCGGCCGGAATAGCTGTGCTGCTGCATATACATTGTTGTGATATCAACTTCAAGTGTGCTCTGGTCGAGTCTTTGGGGCAAAAGCTGTCGCAAAAGCCACGGCCGACAGATCCGACCACTACAAGATCTGTAGTGAGGCGGAGATGTGATTTTGAAGATCACAGAATCAGCTTGATATATCTGGTGGCGATCTTCGTGTGGGACTTTGCGTGACTGGACCCAGCCACTGAGCCAACGTGCAAACTCAGCTGCGGGACAGCTACCCCACCCACCACTTCTAGTGCTCCCCGTGTTGCCAAAGCCCTTCGTGCGGCCAACGTATCATGCAACATATTATTTCGAGACCCTTCCAGTCACGGTATATGATCTCCATCACCAACGAGCCTGCATCGCTGTGGACCATCACTCGGCAGGCACAGCCGGGCATAGGATTTCATACATCCATACAAGTAGCCCTGTCGCATCTTAGTTGAGGCAATTCAGGAGTTGCAGTAGCATGGCGTCTGCAGCGGCGCCGCCCCGTGCGCCGACAACAGTCTTTGAAATCACAAAGTGCGTGTTGTGGCAGCATGGCCACGAATGTGCAAGCCTATGCTGTTTCTGGTTTGAAGACATTCACGTGACTGCGCTGACGCCTGCGCTGGACTAGGGAGGGCACCCGTTGCGTTTTGCGCCGCGGTTGTCCGAGCTGCTCCGTTCGCGCCTCCGCAGGCTGCAGAATGACCTGAGAGCCAAGGACCGCCAGCTGGACACAGCGGCAAAGGAGGCCACGGCGCTGAAGTCCCAGGTGGCTGCCAAGGAAAGGTGCGTGGGCGGACAGCGGCGGGCCACAGAGGGCGATGCCTCTGCCACACGCCTGGCAAAGTTGCACCGTTGGAAGGAACCTGATTGCGCCACGAACTTTCGCACACCTGTCACTTGTGTTTTGCGCATGGCGGATGTGTGTCGATTTGTTTGGGTCGTGGCAGTTGCTGGACTGAGACCTCCTCGTGGTGTGCCCACTCCCTGCAGGCTGATGCAGCAGCACACCGCAGAGATCGGCCGCCTCAAAGACCGCGTCCTGAAGGCCGAGGGGTGGGTGGTGGGTGATGGGAACAAACGACAGGGGTCGGCCCTGCGGCCCATGAAGCCGTGGCGGCGGCCGCTGTGCGGCCCAGTCACAGGCGGCAGGCGTGCCACAGGCCGCGCCGCTGACGCATCTCTCTGTCCAGCAAAGGCTGCCGGGAACAACCCCGTGATCGTATGAGTTACACAACTGCGCAGGGATGCGGCCACCGCCAACAAGGAGCTGACAAACCTCAAGGCTGACAAGGTGCGGCTGCAGCAGGGGACTGCCGCATGCCGCCAGCCCACTGCGGCCCCAGTCCGTATCAGGCCCTCCTCTCACGCGATACCTTGCACCCCGCCCATTAGCCTGCCATCCCTCATGCGCCTATCCTACACCACAGCGCAAGGCCGAGTCCGCCCATACAGACCTGCAGCGCCACGTTGAGAAGCTCAAGGAGAAGGTGGGCTGTCAGGGCAGGTGCTGGCATTTGAGTTTCCTGCGGCTGCTCAGCAGTGCGTTGTGCCGGGTGGCTGGAAGCCTGCTGCAGCACTGGGCAAGTACCAGCATGAGGGTCCTTGCAACTTAGAGAGATGCCCGAGTGTTGCAAGCCGCCGCCTGTATTGCTAAAGAAACGCTTACACATGCATGTACCGCTGCGGGGGCTCACAGGTTTCGCAGCTGAGCTCCAAGGGCCCAGGGTTCAGCGAGCAGGTGCGCCAGCCGTTGCGCTTGCTGCAATGATTTCGGAGGGGTCGAGTGGGCATGCCTGTGCGCACCGGAGCATTCATTGCTGCCCCTGCAGCCTGCGATGGTTTGCGCCTGCGGTGAGCGTTGGTTTTGGCGGACAATCGTGCGGCTCTCTCGCCCCCAGGTGGCACGTCTGGAGTCTGAGGTGCGCATGGTGAAGAAGGACAACGCAAAGCTGGCAGACGAGACCAAGGTGGGTGACGCGCTGTGACGTCAGCTCATGGGCCACGCAGGAATAATGAAAACTGGAGATCGCGTACGTGCGATAGCAGACGTGTGGGGTCGAGCATCGCTCCAGAGGAGGGCCAGAGGCAGTCCAGGCACCCACCAGATGTACACAGCCCCATGAGCCCATAAGCCAATCAGTCAACGACCCTGTATGATGATGACAAAGCTCACATCCACAACCATGCCCGACTGCCCTGTCCCAGGCGGTGACCAACCAGCTGCGCGCCAAGGACAAGGAGCTCACCGCTGCGCAGGCCAAGCTGGCATGGGCCGCACAAGTAAAGGGGGACAGGGTGAAAAGCATAGGGGCTGGTGGTCTGCACCAGCACTATTCCTGCACGCACCTGCGCTTGCGCACCACAGCAGTCTGTCCCAGGACCGTTGTCAGCTGTTTGCAGGAGCTTTGCGGGAGCATCTAGTCTCGCCTGCTGCTGAGCCCAGATGCGTGCATGCAATACGCGCGCACGGCCCGCAATCACGCGCCCGAGCATGTCGCGCATGCATGACCTTTGTGCAAACACACGGTGGCGAGACCACAGGTTGAGGGGCGCAACAAGGCGCTGGAGAACGAGGTGCTGGCGCTGAGGAAGGCGGCGGAGCACGCAGTGGCGGAGATGAGGACGCTGCAGAACGTGAGAGGGGGGCAAGGGGGGCGGAGGGGGCCGCAGTCGGAGAGCGTGGACGCTGCCGGCCGCTGATTAGGACACTTGGTGTTGTTTAGCTGCTGCTGCTGCTGCTGCTGTTGTTGTGGTTGTTGTTTTTGTTGTTTTTGTGGCTTAAACAACAACAAATGTCTGCATGCATCCCATCACGCGTAAAGGCATGTCTCCTCAGCATGCTGTCGCTGCGCTCACCTGAACGTGCGCAGGAGTACCGCCGCAAGGACCAGGACGTCTGCAGTGAGCGCCGCCACTGGCGCCGCACGCGGCTGCAACAATCGGGTTGCATCGATATCCGCTTCAGGCGCCGCGCTTGACCGTACTCTCAGGACGCAGCGTGCTGCTCCGCGCTGTGCTGCACGACGCGCCGCCCGTTCGCGTCCCCCAGGGCGCCCCCGCGCTCGCGCCGCTCCTGCCACTCCTGCAACGCTCTCCACCTGATACCACCCCCCCAACCCCGCAGTCCTGAGCACTGCGCTGGAGGAGCGCCGCGTGGAGCTGGACGCGACGCGCGAGGAGCTGGGGATGGCGCAGGCGCAGATCAAGGTGGGGGTGGGGGCACGCAGGGGCACTGCAGCATACTGTATGGCGGTCAGGCACATCAGATAAAAAGCGGAGACGCACCGCGCACGAGAGCATTTGCACGTGCACACAGGCTTACTCATGGCTGTGGGCGTGCGTTTGGTGGATGAAGGGGGGCCGGGCAGGGCCGCTGAAGGGACGAGCGTCTGGGAAGACATGCCATTATCAAAACCCGAAGCACACAGCCAGCCGTACGCGCCTGAACCCCACAAGCATGTGCATCCACTGGAAACATGTGTTGTCATTTACCCCAAACACATCAACACACCCTCGCGCACACGCGCGCGCACACACACACACACACACACACACGCACGCGCGCGCGCACACACACACACAGGCGTCTGAGTCGCGCTGCTCAGAGCTGACCACTGAGCTCAGCGTGACGCGCGACGAGCTGGTGCGTGCAACCGCAGTGGCTGCGCGGGTGGCGGCAACGGAGCAGAAGTCTGGGCTCAAGGTTGAGGGCACCATCCCCATGGCGACTCACGGTGGGTGCTCGTTTGCCAGCAAGCCTGCTTTGCACATGTTTACATATCGCGGGTCAGGTTCACCTGCAGTCTGGACAAGCAAACAACCAATATGACTACATGGAATCATCACCGCTCGTTTTGACTGACAGCAAAGTGGACGGGTGGGGGATGGATGCCTGTTAAAGAAGGGTTCAAGGTCGGGGCCACAAGGCACTGCAACAGTTGAAGTGCCACCTACTCAAACCCCTGCCTTGGTCAGACCTGGCCAACCCAGTCAAACCCGGTCAACTCCCCGCTTGCCTGGTCGAATTTCCTGCAGTCGAGGAGGTCAAGTACCTGCAGGGCGAGGTGACACGCCTCAAGGACAAGCTGACGCTGGCGGAGAAAGACGTTGCCGTCGCACACAGCATCAAGGTGCGGGGTCACACGCCTGCAAGGGCGGGGGGACGGGCAGGGGCGGCAGCACCTGATAATTGTGGGAAGGGAGGGGGGTTTGAAAGGCTGGGGGTGTGAGGTGGCGCCCCAGGCGCGAGGCCACAGGTCTCACGTCAACGTCTAGCGCGATGCCGCGCGGGCCGTGCCAAGAAGCAGGCTCGCCCCTTCCCCCGCCCACATCACCGCGAGCCTGCCGGCCTCTCGCGCTCGTGCGCGCGGCCGCGGCCCTTTGCGAGCGGAACGTGGGCCCGCGGCGCCCCCCATCCCACCGCTCGGGCAGGAGCGCTACCGCTCAGCCCTGGAGGCGGCCAACCTCCCGCTGGCGCTGGACGTCGAGCGCGGCGCCGGCCGCGCCGCGGCGCGGCTGTCCCTCTCGCCCTCAAAGGCGCGCCGCTTCATGGCGCCGACAGAAGCCGACGGGCAGGAGTTCGCCGAAGGCGAGGAGGGCGGCCAGGTGCGCGCGCTGCTTCAAATGAGATGTGTGGGGGACTACCAGGCCGGGGGCCCCATGCAGCGGGTTCGGGCAGGGGAGTGCGGAGGGACCTGTGGCTTGCGCGCTGCCTGGGGCGCACCATGGCCCCGTGCGACAGGGGGAGCATTGCGCGCGGCCCCGCGCACGCCCGCGCAGGAGGAGCGCCGCGCTGCGGCGGCCGCGGAGGTGGCCGCGCTGCCGGAGGAGCCCCACTGCGGCGCC